ATATATATATATATATATATATATATATATATATATATATCTTGGGACATATTACAACATTTGTCTAAACCAATAATAAATCAGGGAATTTAAATATCTAAAATTATAAGTAACTACCCAAATCGGAAAAAGCCGACTTTAGACAACTTTTTATCAAAAAAAGTCAGAGACATTAAAATCAGACTTTGACCTAATTAAATTAGTAAGGAGAAGAGGTTCACTGGCAATTGACTAATTTTGAGTCAAATGACTATCCAACCAGTGACAGCCTTGCCCAAATTAACTGCTACCTCATTCAGGTTGGTGCCTTCTCGCATCTAGAATACTCAAACATCACCTACAGGACCCGAAATGTGCAACAAAAGAGGAAAAAGTCATGAAGACAGAGGACTAGAATCCCGTTTGCTTGGGCCCACAGTCTTTAAATGATGTAGGCTCCTAAAAATTTCGGCAATAATTTGATTGGATACCTCAAAAATCTGAACAAAAAGAGAAAACTTGAGAATTTATTTGAGAAGAAGAGTTATTACAGTGGAGACAAGGATACAGGTTATTCCCATTAATATACTTTATGTCATCTGAAATAAAGTACACTAATACAAAGCAGAAGAAAAACAAGTAAATTTCCTCAAAATCAATCATTTCAAAATTTAATTCCAAAGCCCATGTATGGAGGTAGGGTAATCCCAACCTCCTGTACCATTAGACGAAAGCAATGTAAATAAAAACGTGAGATGAATTTGCACATGCGAGGAAACATTTATTCCAAAATTAAAGAATCAATAATTACTAAACTAATATGACTTGAAGCGATATTATTTGATAAGGTGGTTATTGACACTAAAATATAGTAAAGGAAAATGACTACGCAATACTTTGTACCATTTTCTTTTAAAAATCACTTCGTAATTCAGATTATATGAATCGTAGCATAATGCATATAGTACCAATGAAATTATAGTAACTTTTTGGATATAGCACTGGGAATTCGAGTCTGCCTTCTCACATGTGGGTTATCAGCATGGAGACTTGTAAAGTACCTAAGAACGATAGTACCTCGAATCCCCACTGAAATACACTCACTTCTGTCGGATGAGGGGGAGGGAGAATGAGACTGATGAAGCATTTCTGAGATGCCAAAAGTGAAATCAAGTAAATATATGAAGCATACTCCTTCTCAACAAGACAACAGATTCTCTGAAATCCAACAGGGCATTTGTAAATGCATGTGTAATCCCAGAGTAATACTAAACCACCTGACAATATTTAAATCTACGCCAAAATTCATTTCGGAATAGATTAAAAAAATAAAGAAAGCTAACACGTTTCCCTGTTTATTCTAGTTCTAGAATGAGAAAGCAAATAAAAACTTAATTTAAACTAAACCAATAAACAATAGCTCTTACCAGCGATGTGAAGACAAAGTAATTAGTGGCACTTAAGCTGCATTAAATTATAAATACTCATTTAGGGTAAACACCAAAACTGTTCGAGCTAAGCCCAGTCGTGAAGAGTACAATTTAGAGGTAGAAAAATGTGCAATGAAATTTATTTTCATCGCAGTCTATTTACAACACAGTTCTAGGTGTGAGTTAGAGAAGAGGCGCATATCAAACAATCCAGCAGTAGTTGGATATTTAATTTATTCAAAACGGGGATAAAATGCTTTTGAATTGAATGTTTCGCCAACTATTTTATTCACAAAAAGGAAGGAAAAATGACACAATGTAAGTATTTATTTATCGATTAAATGGGAACCAAAGTGGGCAGAGCGAATAAAAACGCCCGAAAACAGCAAAAAGCCTTCCAAGCAGAACTAGAAGAAATTAAACTAAAAAGAGGGTGCATTTTGGGGAGGACAACGTTTATTTTAAATCAGTAAATAGGTACAAAGAGCAATAACCATGCAGGTCGTAGATCTACCACCTTTACTCCTCCCAATCGCTAGCTAACGTAGTTATGTCCACATTAAAAGGGACAAACTAAATTTCTGAAGTGATAAACGACAGACACAAAATCAGGCCATTAAAAGTTAACTTAGAGTGAAGGGCAGAAACAGAGCAACCAAGAGAATGCATTAATCGACTCGATTTGCATAAACCAATGGCCCATTGTGCATGATATGATTAAGAAGCTTGATTACACGAACAAAGCAGAAGGGACACAATTTCAACATGTTAATTCTGTGTCAAGACAGTGCAATAAATTGCACTCTCATAAATTAAACGTTTGCAATACAGGTAGGGTAAAAACATATGGTACGTAAATTTCGTTTAATTAAATAGCATACCTTAACAACTTGAAGCATCTCCGACCGACTAATATATCCATCACCATCTAGGTCGTAAACTTGAAAGGCCCATTGGAGTCGTTGTTCCACATCATTCCCCATTCGAGTTACGTTGAGAGTAGTGATAATGTCACGGAATTCAACGATTCCATCGCCATTTTGGTCGAAGGCACGAAAGACGAGACGAGCAAATGGTCGGGGATCACCGTATGTGTCCCCCACAGAATTAAATGATGAAACACTATATAATGCACAGTAGAATCGCTGAAAATCTTCCACTGTGAGCTGACCACTTGGACAATCCTGTAGAATGTAGATGGAAAAAAGAACTATAGATACATAACGAAAAGAGTAGAAAAATATATTCCATCAGAAAAGACTCCCACGTTTACATAACACCATTAAAAGCGGTCATAATTAAGATGATCGAAATGCAATTTAATTTCTTTCCCATACTAACCTTTAAAAATCCGCGATACCACTGTTGAATCTCTTGTTCATTAAACGAAGTTAATCGAGTCAACTCTTCTACCGTTTCTGCCTTCAGCTTCGTTTGTTTGGTACCCATTTTAATTTATGTACAACTCAATATAGGCGTTAATTAATAACAGCGATTCGATTCTTGCATAATTAACCATCAAAACAGCCAAGAGCAAAATTCAAACGCGAAAGATGACGGTTGAAAGTACCCAAGGTCAGGCCATGTATCATTAAGTTGCTTAAAAATTAGAATCATTTAATGAAATTAAAAGTTGAGAATATTTACCTAGTGATTTTAACCTAGGTCTATCAATTGTTTCAAATTTTATATACTTTCCAAAACGGCTTTAATTAAACTTGTTAGATTAGGCAATAAAGGTAAATTATTCGAATACTTCTTTACTTCGTCTAGCCCAACTCGTTTATTTACTTTTTAACTTTTAAAGCGTTTCAAAATTCTGCTTGAGTCCTTTGATTTGCGTTGCCCTTGCTTATAGAAAAATTATGACACTTAAAATTTGTCTGAAATTTACTATCAAGTTAAATAGTTTTTGTAAGTGGGGCAGCATAATTTAACAAGCGTATCCTATTAATTAAACTTTCTTTATTTTGGAAATCATTCGTTTCTGTGAAAATCGTACTCTCATTACATTTCCAGCTTCGGATATTGTTTAAAGACCATTTTGAATATCTTTCGTTTGTGAATAAACGTTATTATCCCAGCACTGTTCCAAATCATTTCCTCCACGGTTTCTTCGCCAATACTCCCAATTAATTACGTATTTAGCAGATTTTGTTCAGATTCTCCGTTTTCTAAATTGATGCATATGTTTTCTTTCACCTTCAGGAATATCAGCATTAGGTGATTCCCAATTTAAATGAGTTACTTTGGTTTGAAATGACAAAATTAATTTAAGCATAAGGGGGAATATTGGTAGAGCACCTTTAGTGGAAATTATTATTCGTTAATATTTGAACGAAATCATATTTCATTCTGCGATATAATCTTTGATCATCCACTTGATAATTTAGATAATCCTAATTTACCATTTTAACATAAATTGAGATCGCATATATTGTCACTATTGCTATCTTGGAAAAATTAAAAGGAAAAAATAAGATCTACTAGTTATAATTTTGTGACAGACATGTATATCGCAAAATACCATCATAGCTAATCAGAAGCACCTTGATAGCACTAAATTATTTTGAAAGTCCTATTATCCTTCGATCATATGTTTGTAGAAACCTTACTATCTACTCACTGATTTTTATTTTTTCGAATAAACGTATTTAATTACTCATCCTGTTTTGACATTCACCAGAGTCCAAGTAGCCTCTCTTCTCTCTGTATCTTCTGTGTTCTCTCCTCTTTGAGCTAGCTGATTTTGAGACAGCAAATTTACACTAGGAAACTCAGGTGAATTCTCTCTGTATATATTCACATCAGGCATCTACATCTCTGGGGCTCTTTTTACGTGATGACAATCAGCAATTAACCATTACTTAAGTCACATACATTTCATCATTTTTATTATAAACAACAGTGGTTCTGTAAGAACTCAGAAATCAGGAGAGTCTTGACTAACCTAATAACTTAAGCTAGTATCAAATATAACCTCAAAATGTATGCTGAAAATTTTAATAAAATTTTCAATCGGTATTAATCTATTTTCAGTTTGCCATCTAAAACCCTTGGTAATATAACGAACACAAAATAAACCGGGGTTTGAAACGTTTCCTTTGTTTAATCAGTCACCTTGACAACCGATCTCAAATATTTGCATGATCATGTTAAAATGTTCATAGGTCTTTTGGTCCTGAAAACATTACAATGATTTTCAACTTCCTCTAAATGTCATTTGCCCATTTTTGTTAAATGTCGTTTGCAACCAGTGAGAATTATATGCTGTTAAGGAGCGGTTCGAGTACAATTTAATCAAAGTTTTTTAATAAACGGCCCTTTTAACTGATTATCACCGTCAATGCTGAACTATTGTGTTAAAAAAGAACATTTTTCGTATGAGTATGAATTAAATTAATTGAAGTACAAAGGTATTAATAGTTCATATCCTAACAAACGAGACAAACGAATAAATTTGTCCAAATATTTAATATAAATGAACTTGTTTAGCGTATATAATATTTTTCTCTGTCAAATTTAAAAATACTGTAATTGAAAAGACATTTTTACTTATCTGAGTTTTTTGAAATCTGCAATTTTAGCCAAAAATATCCTGCAAAGTATTTCATTCAGATTTAATTTTCATTTCGGAATAATTTCGGTTATCTATTTCCCGGGGCCTCTTTCAATAACCCCTTGACATGGAGGAATTAACTCGATTTCAAATTGCCGAAAATCGTTGTACTGCCTACTTTTCAAACGTCAAATTCGTTGTTTTCATGCATTAGTAACTTCTGCAACGTAACTGGCAGCCTACTAGCCCATAATACCCCCACCCCCAACACCCGCTTTCCCCACTCACCCTCCCACTCACCTATGGCTTAACTACCAAGCTTCCTCTAGAGGTTTATTTGTAAAAGAGTTAAATAAACTTGCTCTGGACTACTTACACGCTCTCTGTAAACACGCACGCGACATCAATAGCGCCCACATTCAACCATGGTCTACATTTTTCTGTTTTTCTTTATGTTGATTGGCAATGAATCGGTACTTTGCGACTTTCTTCTCCCTTCATCATGATTTCATAGAAAGGGTTAAGATAAGTTAAAGGTATATCCTTCAGCCTATCAAAGAGCTGAAGGTAGGCACGTCAGGTACCGATAAAAGGCAAAATATTTAACTAAAAAAATCAAGGGGCAGTAACGAGATCCTTTAAGACTTTTGACCATTTTTAGTAACCCATAGGCCATTAAAGAAATTACTTTTAAATGATGAGGATAGTAGAATACATGGAGGACCTATTAATAAATATTGTGATAATAACTATCTGTAATTTTTTGATGTCTTGAGAGCATAATTTATCGTGTTTCTTTCTACCGTGAAATGATCGACAACGTGTTTTATAAAATGTAATAAAAGTAATTAGCTAACTGTTCCGAGAATCACCTTATCCCCAAGAACCCGACAGTTAATTTCAGTAATTATTAACGTTGGGACATCACTAAAAGAGACTTATTCCTTACTCACGCACTCCAAGTTTCCAGATTGCAAATATATTAAGACTTTTGCTATCACTTATCGATCGGATTCCACTTCTGATGTAATATTAATTGAATATTAATTAATGAAAAGATGATTAAATCTAGGCGGCGCTTTCATCTACATTAGCAGCGAACCCTCTTCAAAGTTATGGCTGTAATTTAAACATTTAATTTATTTATATCCAGTAGTAGACTTTAAGATAGTTATCATTAACCCTTTAGTTGACTTCGGGCTTCACAGAGGGGGGAACATTAATGTGAGAAAAAGGTAGAGAGAGGGGACAGAAGAGTGATTCACAGATGTAGAGGAGACAGACAATCACAAAGGTAGAAAAGAATGTAAGTTAAGGTGGGTACTATGGAAGTAGCGGAATATGACATACAGTGGGGTGGTGGTAGTTTGAAGTCAGAAGTCAACTACCGGTTTATAGACATTTATGCCGTATGTTTACCAGAGTAAACCAAGTGGAGTAATTTAATATCCTTTATTGAATTTAGAAAATATTGGGCCTCATCCACTTCCATGATGGGAGTTTTCATTCATGTGCCCTAGACACGATTAGGTTGCCTTCTCTTCTGCAAATTTCTGCTTATCAAATTTTATATGTTTATTGGGTAAATATATATATATATATATATCACCTTCGATGGTTACTCCTGTCGAATTTTTTGAGTGGGTAAATTACCCGAAAATGTCTATTGCACTTTCAATGCAGCTACAGAAATTGTGATCTGATTGACAAAATTACCTTGGGTTGCTAAGGCAGCTTGTCAAACTGACAAATCACTGGCCACCTTAAGGTAAATTTAAAATTTTAAGCTTCTATAGCTAGTCAGTTCTCTGATTGCCTCCCCCCCCCCCCCCCCCCCCCCACCCCACAATTTGTCTACTTTAAAATTTCGAATTTTCGCTTAATTGTTCTCAACCGCCTCGTTTGGGTAGTCTTGACCGCACACATTCGCCCGTAGATTTACACCCATGACTTAAGAGTAACGCACTCCAAACTCAAGAATGAGACCCTCCTTTTGATAGACCTTAGTGGTAATGCGTTCCCGCGTTTGATGCAGCCATTTAGTGGAGCAAATAGGCTGCTTCAATAAGCTATCAGAATCGTTGCCTATTTAGTTTAAATTAGACTTTCCGCAGCTCAGATTCCCTGGCCTGACGATTATTGCCTAATTCCTCCAAGTAAATAGCAGTTTACGGAGACCACGAACAATATTTTATGATATCCAAGTGGGAGGGGTGTGCGATAGACTTACCTCCACGCGGTGCACCCTGGGCAACGTATACTCATACGGCATGAAAATTTATACACCGGCAGTTGACTTCCGACTCTTAACTACCATCGCCCCACGGTATGCCATATTCCACTACTTTCACAGTACTCACCTCACCATTTTTTCTACCTTTGTGTCTGTTTCTTTTACATCTTTGAACTCTTTTTTCTACCTTTGTGTCTGTTTCTTTTACATCTTTGAAACGCTCTTCTGTTCCCCATCCCCCTCTCGACTTTTTTTTCACTTTGATGTTCCTTCCTCTCTGTGAAGCCTGTAGTCAACTAAAGGGCTAATGACTTGGTCAAATGGTAAGATTCCAGTGAGACGGGCGAATTCCGTAGTCAGGTATATTTCGGTTCCCTTTCGAAAAAATTTATGATTCTTCCGAGCCCATTAAGTTTTTTCGAACGCGCTGTATGAGGGAGAGACTAAAAGTGGTCCCCTCTTCGAATTTAGATTACAGTAGGAGGTATCAATATTTCCCTCAATCACTAAAGAGAGGTATATATGGTAATTTTTAGTGGAAAAAGAGCATCTTGGGCCCATAGAATTACATATGTAAATGAGCTTCAATGAAACACGAAATATCATTGAAGCCTGACCCATATCTTCAAAAATATAATTAATATGTTTGAAACAGCT